CAGGTTCCAAACTATACCTCCATGAGCTTCTAGAAGGCAGTGAAATCTATCTCCCAGAAGTTGTGAAGCCTCCACGGGTATGTAAGGGATACATTTGTGAGAATAAATATTGACTGACTTGGGCTTATTCATGATACATTGAACTTAAAAATCAACTTTTAGATTTGAAAATTGCCGGGCGCGGTGGCTCAAGCCTGTAATCCCAGCACCGTGGGAGGCCGAGGCGGGTGGATCACGAGGTCAAGAGATCGAGACCATCCTGGTCAACATGGTGAAACCCCGTCTCTACTAAAACTACAAAAAATTAGCTGGGCATGGTGGCGCGTGCCTGTAATCCCAGCTACTCAGGAGGCTGGGGCAGGAGAATTGTCTGAACCTGGGAGGCGGAGGTTGCAGTGAGCCGAGATTGCGCCATTGCACTCCAGCCTGGGTAACAAGAGCGAAACTCCGTCTCAAAAAAAAAAAAAAGAAAATTTGTTTTTTAAATCTCTGGGACCTGGGGGAACCAGATATTGTCCTCCCCATTGACTGCTTGGAAAATTGAGATCCAAAAAAAAAGCAAACAGTTTCAAAGCAGTGGAGTTGTAACTAGTATGTGGGTCTCCTGATACCTTTAGCAGTGCTTTTCCCCCCGGAACCAATGATTGTGATGTGCTTTCTAACAAGCTGGGAATATCATTCTTCTCATTTGATTTTTCTGCTTCAGAACCCAGAACTAGTTGCCCGGCTGGAAAAGATTAAGATACAGCTGGCCAATGAGGAATATAAGCGGATCACCCGCAACGTCACTTGTCAGGTAAGGGCCTGTTCTTCAGCACATGGACTAAGTAGCCCCTCAGAGTAGGACCCTACACTGGAAGAAGGTACAGAGGATTAAAAAAACATGGAAACTTGGTTTATATACTGTTCAGGGACCATAGAAGCTCTGCATACAAACTACAGTTCCCATCTCACTCACTGAGCCCCGGCGGGGAGCTGGAGTGTGAGCAGCTACCCCGAAAATTGTGGGCCGAGCTAGAGGCCACTCTGGGGAAGAAGCACATGGGCGGTGATAGCTCCAGTGGCTGCCAGCACTGAGATGGTGACCAATTCTTAAATATCATAAAAGTGGGGCCGGGCGTGGTGACTCACGCCTGTAATCCCAGCATTTTGGGAGGCCAAGGTGGGCAGATCACAAGGTCAGGAGATCGAGACCATCCTGACCAACATAGTGAAACCCCATCTCTTAAAAAAAAAAAAGAAGTGGGAATGAGTCAGCTGGGCGCAGTGGCTAACACCTATAATCCCAGCACTTTGGGAGCCTGAGGTGGGTGGATCATCTAAAGTCAGGTGTTCGTGACCAGCCTGACCAATATGATGAAACCTCGTCTCTACTAAAAATACAAAAATTAGCCTGGCATGATGGCAGGCACCTGTAATCTCAGCTACTAGGGAGGCTGAGGTAGGAGAATTGCATGAACTGGGGAGGCGGGGGTTGCAGTGAACCGACACTGCACCCATGCACTCCAGCCTGGGCAAGAAGAGTGAGACTCCGTCTCAAAAAAAAAAAAGCGGGAATGAGTCTTGGAGCCTTTCTTCTTCTTCTTTCTTCTTTCTTCTTCTTTCTTCTTCTCTTTTCCAGATGGAGTCTCACTCTGTCAGCCAGGCTGGAGGGCAGTGGCGGGATATTTGCTCACTACAAACTCCACCTCCCGGGTTTAAGCAATTCTCGTGGCGCAGCCTCCCGAGTAGCTGGGATTACAGGCATGTGCCACTACACCACACTAATTTTTAGTAGAGATAGGGTTTCACCATGTTGGCCAGGCTGGTTTTGAACTCCCAACCTCAGGTGATCCACCCGCCTTGGCCCCCCCAAAGTGCTGGGATTACAAGGTGAGCCACTGCACCCAGCCTTTGGAGCCTTTCTTCTGACAGGACCCCCTACTATTCTCTGGCATGCTCCTACCCTGTAACAGGAGAGGAGTAGATGGGTAGTGGCAGCCTATGTCCTCTCTGAAATGCTTGCTCTGTGGTCCAGAAAAGAGTCAAAATGGTTCAAGACAAAAGAATCCATGGAGAAGGCAGAGTTAATGTATTGGGCAATAGAGAGGGCTGAGCCCAGACTGACAAATGGATGCTCTCTGAGCTGCTTCTATTCTGAAATAATCTGCTTTTTCTTTTTCCCAGGATTCAAGGCATGGTGGGACTCTCAGCGACCTGGGAAAGCAAGGTGAGGTACTGAGAGATCAGGCTTCTAAAGCCTTTTCCTGAGATGGGTTATGACACTCAGGCTTGCTGTTTGACTGGAACCCAGTTGGTGGGGGGTGGCAGCCATGAGATAAGAGCACCTCCTAGAGAATGTTGAACTAAAGGTTTCCTCTCTGGCTCCTCCTCAAAGTGAGATCATTGAAGGCTCTGGTCATCACCATCTTCAATTTCATTGTCACGGTGGTAGCTGCCTTTGTCTGCACTTACCTTGGAAGCCAATATATCTTCACAGAAATGGCCTCGGTGAGTAGGCACTTGGGCAGTGCAGGGTGCCCTAGGTAGTGGTGTTAGTGGGTAAGGGAGAACATATGTGAAGTGCCTTGTACAGGTTAGGTATTGAACAGATATTTATGCTATTAACAAGGGGAGCATTGGAGCCTTCCAGCAGTCGTGGGGGTGTGGGGAGTAGGTAATAACTCCAGAAGAAGCCACATTGTCTTCCCTTCCTCCAACTTAGAGGGGGATTGGGGGCTCTGCATCCTCATTAAAGGTGCTGGGGGTACAGAGCTGGGTATTGGCCTGCATCCCTTAAGCTTGGTTCTGCCCACCTCCAGCGGGTGCTGGCTGCATTGATCGTCGCCTCAGTGGTGGGTCTGGCGGAGCTGTATGTCATGGTGCGGGCAATGGAAGGCGAGCTGGGAGAACTGTAACTGGTGCTTCATCATCAAGCCTGGAGAAGACTCTGGGGGCTCCAGGTTCCCAATTCCCAGTTGCCAACTCAACCCCTCAGACTTTTTGTACTCAGCTCCAGTTATTTAGAGGACCAGCCCAGGCCACCTGCTGTTTCTGTGTGGAGCCCAGTCTTCTGTGAATTTCCAAAGGGAGCAGTGGAGGAGATTGAGATAATATATCTTTAAAACGGAAAAAACTGATCTTGGTCTATCAGTACCTTTTCCTGAATCTGGTACCCACCTGCCTTCTCCAGTCCCATTCTAGACACTGCTGGGATTAGGGTTTTTCCATCAGGAGCAATGGAATCCAGGCCTTGCCAGAAGTAGACCGTACTGCCTTGAACTTGTCCATATGTACAAACTGATCACCAGCTTTCTCCAGACGTTTTTAACGCAGACCTGTAATTGAGTTCAGAAGCCTCCAAGAAAGCAGGAAAGATCCCCTTTCTCCAGTTTGTGCTGGAAGAGGAACTGATCAGAGGATAGACATCAAATTAAAGAAGGATGGGTTGCTGTAGGATGGTGGAACTGGAAGCAAGGCAGCTACCTTTTTGGAAAAGGAAGTGGTATTAGGCCCCTTTTCCAGAAGATAAGACAGACTCATAGAGATCAACTGACCAGCTGTGGTCCTTCCTCTGTTACATGGAGCCAAAGATGCCTATGTTTTCCTGAAGTCTTATAATGTTTAACTTCTGAGAACTTAGTGGTGTGATGATAGAATCTATATAGTGCACTGAAAAGGATGTCAACCTTAGTTATTTATCCAATAAATATTTATTGTATCCAAGGTATTCTTATTTTAACTCCTGTGACAACAAAGCAGAACCATTTCCACAGTTCTAATTGTTCAGGGTCTGATCCTCATGGTAGACTCTTTCTTTTGTTCATTGTATGTACTCCTGTCATCTTTTTTACTTTTCCAAAGCACTTTTCTGTTTTAATAAATTATGTACTCATTAACTCAGTAGACATTTCCTCTACAATGTTTGTGAGTTTCTATTAGTTGGGAAAAGTGTCAACTGTGTGAAGAAAAAGTAGGTGGCATTTTACAGTGTTTCCAGTAACCTGAGCTGTATAAAATTTGTGTTAAAAAGCTACACTGAGGCCGGGCACTGTGGCTCACGCCTATAATCCCAGCACTTTGAAAGGCCGAAGTGGGTGGATCATAAGATCAGGAGTTTGAGACCAGCCTGACCAACATGGTGAAACCCTGTCTCTACTAAAATACAAAAATTAGCCATGCATGGTGGTACACACCTCTAATTCCAGCTACTCAGGAGGCTGAGGCAGGAGAATGGCTTGAACCCAGGAGGCGGAGGTTGCAGTGAGCCGACATTGCCCCATTGCACTCCAGCCTGGGTGACAGAGAGACTCCATCTCAAAACAAAACAAAAGCTATACTGGGCCAGGTGAGGTAGCTGATGCCTGTAATCCTAGCATTTTGGGAGGCTGACGTGGGCAGATCACTTGAGGTCAGGAGTTGAAGACCAGCATGGCCAACATAATGAAACCCCATCTCTACTAAAAATACAAAAAAATTAGTCAGGCCTGGTGGTGCATGCATGTAATCCCAGCACTTCGGGAGACCAAGGCAGAAGGATGGCTTGAGCTTAGGAGTTTGAGACCAGCCTGGGCAATGTGGCGAAAGCCCATCTCTACAAAAAAAATGCAAAAATTAGCTGGCATGGTGGTGCATGCCTATAGTCCCAGCTGCTCAGGCAGCTAAGGTGGGAGGATCACTTGAGCCCGGGAGGCAGAGGTTGCAGTAAGCTGAGTCTCCCTGGACGACAGGGTGAGACCTTGTCTCAAAAGAAAAGAGGGACGGGGAATCAAATGCCCTGTCCTCCAGTTCTCAGCATGTAGAAGGGGGGTCTCTCGTCTCCTAGCCACTCCTGCCTCACTATGCCTTGCTTTCTCTAGTGCACTCTGAGTCCAGGGACTGCTTGGCAGGAGGCAGGAAGAACAAGAAGTTTGGGGCCTCCTCAGTTTCTTAGGGCCTGTCTGGAGAGGGAACTAGCATTTCCCGAGTTTTTTGCAATATGTCACACACCATGTAAAGGCCTTTACCTACATTATTTCTTATACCTCAAACAGAGAGCAAACAAATATCCCTTTTTTTTAGTCACATAGAGTTCCAGAGTTGCCACGGTTACATAGCAGAGTCAGGATTTGAATCCAGTGCAGACCGCAAACACTATGGTTTTCTCTCCGAAGCAGAGCAGCTCCAGAGGTGGACATAACTGGAGTGTTCTAGACTCAGTGGGACCAGGAGCAGGGGGTGCCAGCAGAGGCTCCCATCTCCCCAGGGTCTGTCAGTCAGAGCCCTAAGACCTTCAATTAACTATCCCTCTAATCCCAGCAGAAGCTTAGGTAATACCTCCCACCAAGCATCTGTGTGGAACCTGGCCCTATTTAGGGATTAGGTGATGGAGATAAATTTCCATGGCCCTCAGATAAATTTCCATGGCAAATGGCCCTTGTCCCCATTCATTTGCAGAGCACAACAATCCAGATTAAGTTACAGAGTTTGGGTTTTATTTGGAGATTAGTTGGTGTTACAGATGATGGTGATACCAAAACCCAATGCTGCTACACCCGCCAGCATCCCAGATCTGTCAGGTTGTCTCCCAGCCCCACGGCAGAGGGCAACCAATCTGATCTTTGTGAAAATTCAATCAACATAAGCCCCAGCCTCCTATCTTTGCTTTATTACTTTAATGTCACTCCCTCTTCAGATTCATAGTTCTGGTTAATTTGTCCAGGTGGTCGGCGGTCAGGAGAGGGGGCCCTGACCCATAAGAAGGTGGCTTTCCAGCAGTCTAGATTAGGAGCAGCACTCTCCTCTCCTAGCTCACTTAGCAGTTAGCAAGGTAATGGCCTGGAGAGACCTCAGGAGACAGGAGGCTGCCCCTTCAGACAGTGAGAAGAACTGGGGACCAGGCCTGACAAGTGGAGGAAAACGGCCCTCACCTCATCCTGCCACAACGATGGGCATATGCCCCAGAGGGGCCAGGGTGTGGGGTGATGGGAGTCAGACCCCAGTCTGCATAGGACCTGCATCTAGGCTGGCCTGGAGGCCTGTGTAAGGGAGGATGCCTGAGTTAAACTCCCTTCCCATAGGGAACTCCTTTGCGTAAAAGGTGGAGGCAGGGGATCCACTTCCAATGTGTTCAATCCCGGGAGGGGCAGAGTGGGCTACAGGAGTCTGAGGAGGGGTCTTGGAAGCTCTAGACCAAGACCAGGAGTGGTCCACATTGGTGACAATGGCCGAGGCATAGATGAGGTCAGACAGGCTGCGTAGTGACATCTGGGGAGTAGCTTGCTCTAAAGAAGGGTGGACCCCTGAAGCCCCAGCCAGTTCCCATGGGGCTACAGCTTTAGCCCCTTCCCAGGCCTGCCATGGACCCAAGCTAGGAGCTGGACAGGAGGTGTGTTGACACATTGAGGTGTGCTGAAGTGTGCCACTGGAGGGTGAAGGCCTGGCATTTGGGGATCCCAGGGCAGCTGGAAGGTGTCTGGAAGAGAACAGGAGCTCTGGGGGGACTCAGGCCTGGGGCTTAGACTTCCTGACTTCCTGTTCTTGATTCTTTTGGCCCAGCAGTTCTGGAACCACACCTGCTAGGAAAGAAGAAGGGGTCTAGTCTGGCCCCAGCATCCCATCCACCCAGGGAGAGGGGAAACAACCTGAAGGCAGGCTACCCAGCAAAGGGGCTGTGGGCCAAGCCCGGAAGTTGGCTGTATGAGAAGTGGTCACAGCTCATCTGTATCTTGGCCTCAGGAAGATGAGTGACCCAGGCCAGGTGCTCACAGGTGCTGATGTCAGGGTAGGGCCATGCTGCAAACACCCTCTCCACCTCCAGCAGTTGCCCTTTGCTGAAGGCGGTCCGCTTTCTCCGGTGGGGACCCAACCTGCTGGCACCACCTGCAGGCCACGATAGAGGATCAAACCAGGATCAAGCCGGATTCCCTGCAAGAGCCTCCACCCAGCCTCAAAACCCTCAACTAACCCCGAAGTCCCTACTCCCACCCCTCTTCAGCCTTCCCTCATCCCACCATGCCCCACGTCCTCACACTGCTCACACTTCCCCCATCAGATCACCTGCTGGGGATGCATCCATAGGGCTGGCCATGGAGCTGGCAGAGGGTAAGGAGCCAGAGGGCCATGCCAGGGCAGTGCCCACACCAGACCCCTCCATTTGGGTTGTATCCTGCTCAGGGTGGCTGGCCCTGCCTCCAGGAGGGGAGAAGTTCAAGTAAGGCAGAGAAGTTTCAGGGGAAAGAAGGGAGGCCGGAGGCCGAGTTGGGCTTATGAGGGTACAGGTGGGGCAAATTGTGTAGCCCCTGGCCCCTGCCCCTCCAGGGCCTCACAAAGGAAACTGGACCCAGCCTCCCTCCTCAAACCTCAAACTCTGGCAGTCTGTACCTGAAATAGTATACTTCATGAAGATCCTCCTTCCGGGAAGCCAAAGAAAACCATCTCTCCAGTTCTCCCAGGGCACTGGCTGCCCCTTCTGGAGCCCTCAGTGCTCTGGACCTGACTACCTTCAGGGGAGAGGGAGTGGAGTCCTCTCCCACAATTGCAGACTGAGCTGGTGAAGTGGGCCAGGATAAAAAGGATGGTGGAGTGACAATGGGATGAGTGGGAGCCACCTGCTTTCAGCAGGACTGGCCAACAGATGTCACCACCAGATTGCCCTCAGGTCTGCTTTACAGCTTTGCCCGCATCTAACCCTTTCTCCCTCTGGCCCCTCAAGAGCCAGATGGACTTCCTGGGGTTCTGAACCTGGAACCAGAAGAGATTCCACAGATGCAGTTGAGGGGTTCTAAGAAAGATGATAAAGATGTTTATTTGTACAGTATTCTCTTCCTTGGACATCTTCTGAGCCACTTTTTCTTTTCTAATTTTGAAATTTTTTTTTTTTTTTTTTTTTTTTTTTTTTTTTTGAGACGGAGTTTCACTCATGTTACCCAGGCTGGAGTGCAATGGCGCGATCTCGGCTCACCGCAACCTCCGCCTCCTGGGTTCAGGCAATTCTCCTGCCTCAGCCTCCTGAGTAGCTGGGATTACAGGCACGCACCACCATGCCCAGCTAATTTTTTGTATGTTTAGTAGAGACGGGGTTTCACCATGTTGACCAGGATGGTCTTGATCTCTTGACCTCGTGATCCACCCGCCTCGGCCTCCCAAAGTGCTGGGATTACAGGCTTGAGCCACGGCGCCCGGCCCTCTAATTTTGAAATTTTTTTAATTTTATTTTTCTCTGTCACCCAGGCTGGAGTGCAGTGGTGTGATATCTGCTCACTGCAGCCTCAACCTCCCAAGCTCAAGCGATCCTCCCACCTCAACCTCCTAAGTAGCTGGGACTGCAGGCACGCACCACGATGCCCAGCTAACTTATTTTTTGTAGAGATGGTGTCTTGCTATATTGCCCAGGATGGTCTCAAACTCCTGGGCTCCAGCAATCCTTCCACCTTGGCTTCCCAAGATGCTAGAATTTCAGGCATGAGCTACCATGTCCAACCAAAAATTTCCGCATTTTTTGGTGTGTGTTTTGTTCTGCTTTTAGAGACAGAGTCTCACTCTACTGCCCAGGTTGGAGTGCAATGGCACAGTCATAGCTCACTGCAGCCTCAAACTCCTGGGCACCTGGGCCACTTTTCTATGAGAAGTGTGTGCTTTTGGATTTCCCTTCAGTTTCTGCCCTTTGCTGTCTCTCCTGGTCTTGCTGCTCCCCATCCCAGACCCTAGACAGAAACTTCAAGAAAGGCTCACCCTAGGGGTGGGTTTGGGGAAGCACAGTGACTGGTTCCCCAAGTGCTCAGGAGCCTGAGCTACTGTGATTTCAGATCAGCATGGACAAAAAAGCTGAGCTAGATCCCCACAACCTATTGCCCGTTCTCTCTCCTCCAAGGCCCTAGTCAACTCCAAAGGGCAAAGAAAACCTCACCCAGGGAGGGTAGCCTGGTACCTCTGTCATCATCAGAGGGGCTCAAGTGCCTGCTTAGTTGATGTAAATTCTTCATTATGTTGATGCTCTTTACTTTTTGGCATATTTTTGGAAAGGCTGATACTGGTTGTTCCTTTACATCAACTAATGGACAAAACAGCCAGCTAACATCAAATGGCAGTGTTAAACTCACATACATTATTATTAAACCTAAATTTAAATCATCTAAATCCCCCAATCAAAAGACACACCCAAAACCCATCAGTATGCTGCATCCAGACCCATCTCACATGCAAGGATATACAAAGACTCAAAACAAACGGATGGAGAAAGATTTACCAACCAAATGGAGAGCAAAAATAAACAAATAAAAAGCAGGAGTTGCAATTCTCACCTCTGGTAAAATAGACTTTAAAGCAACAAAGATCAAAAGAGGCAAAGAAGAACATTACATAACGGTAAAAGGATCAATGCAACAAGAAGAGCTAATGATCCTAAATATATACGCACCCAATACAGGAACACTCAGATACATAAGACTTATAAAGAGACCTAGACTCCCACACAATAATAGTGGGAGACTTCAACATCAATATTAGACAGATCAATGAGACAGAAAATTAACAAGGGTATCCAGGACTTGAACTCAGATCTGGAACAAGTAAACTTAATAAACATTTATAGAACTCTCCACTTTAAATACACAAAATATACACTCTTATCAGTACCACATCACACCTACTTACGGGTTTAAATGAAATATTGGTTGGCTGTTTGTTTGTTATTTTCTTCACTCATTTTTTCTTGTCTCCATTATTAAGCACAATTATTTGTATAAAAGAGGTTTTCAATACCCATTTTTAGACTGCATTCTAGCCTGGGCAATAAAGCAACACTTCCGTTCTCTCTCCCTCTTCCTCTTCCTCTTTCTTCCTCTCCTTCATTCTTTTTCTTTCTTTCTCTCTTTTTTTTTTTTTCTTTCAAAAAAAAAAAATCACAGACTTCTGGACCATTACGTAAGAGAAAATAAACTTTGTTCTTTAAAAAAAAAAAAAAAGTGCCTGCTTAGCTGCTGGTGGGTTACTGGGGGCTGCTTAACCCAAGAGGAAGGGTAGCTCTCAGGAGGCCCTCTCTAGCCCCAAACTTCAGTTCACAGGTACCGAGCCAAACATGGATTAGACACAGCGAGGCCCTTCTCTGTCCCCCTCGCCAACCCATTCTGACAGCCTAGCCTCCTCTCCTTTACCCAGGCAGGGAAGTGTCCACCCCAGTCAGGACAGTAGTCTTAAACTCATGGCTAAGGGACCTTTATTGGGCTGGGGGAAGGAGATTAGAGGAGGGAGCTACAGAGGGTCCAGCCATGTGGGCTCTGACTCCTACAGACGGCCAGGAGCTGGGCAGCCCAGCCAGTACTGAGCGATGGAGCGTGGGTAGGGAGGGTCCACAGTGTCCACTCGCCGTGTGCGAAGGTTGACTCGGTAGTACTTGTCTGGAAGAGAAGAAAGAAGAGGGTGTGTGAGGCCCAGCCAGGTCCTGCCCACTCTTTCTTTGAAAAGAAAGTCTAGGGTCTCTTCCAGAAGGAAAAGTAAATATCCACCATGCAGCTAAGGACTTCTGGCCTGGCTTTCTGTGATCACTACCTGCAGCCTGTATTCAGCCCTTGTGGACCTGGGACAGCAAGTAAGACCCAAGCTAGACCAGCTTCAGGGGTGGCAGGGGCTCCTACCTCCAGAGAAGAAGAAGACACTCTGGATGGGTTCACAGGTGGCAGGCACAAGCCAGTCCATCCCATCATAAGAGTTGATTCCCAAGTCACTTTCATCACTGGAGAATAAGGACAGCCAGGTAGCTCGGGATGGCCGGCGGGAGTTCTGCTTGTGGCCACGGCTGCGACCTCGGCGTGAAGAGTAGCCTTTGCGGCTGCGATGGTTAAACTTTTGCTTCTTGGCCAAGGAGCGGCGGGGTGCTATGCCTGAGACGTAGATGTGGCCAGCCATGGCTGCATCCACTTGTCCTGGCACACCGTGCCACTCCTGGCTAATGAACCGGGGTTGTCTGGTACCAGCTGTGGCAGGGAAGGGGTGAATGAGAGGTCTTGGAGGTCTGAGTCTTGCCCCCTCCAGCAGGGCCATTAGAGTTCATCTGCTGCACCTTGCCCAAAGACACACAGCAGCTAATGGCAGAGCCCAGCAGCTAATGGCAGAGCCTTTGATTCTCCGTCCAATGCCCTTCCCCCTGCACTCCCTCCATGGTGTCTCGACCCTAGGCCCCCTAAACTCCTCAGCCATAGCCCCTCCCTCTGCTGGCTGTGCCCCCAGCTGTGCTAGGCAAAGTCCAAGGTGTGGGGTCCAGGTGGAGCTGAGCGTCCCCCAAAAGGTCAACAGAAGCAAAGTCTAGCCTGAGCAAATAGCCTTTGATCGATAGCTCCACAAACAGCCCCCTCCAGTCAGCCTGGCTCTACCGCTACCCAGGGGTTCCAGCCCTTTTGAAGGAGAAGCAAGACTTGCCCTCTCTCCATACCAGAGCTTCTGCCCCAGAAGAGAAGCTCAAAGATGTCCTCCCAGCTGTCCCGCTGCATCATGGCAAACTGCTCAAACACTGCTGACAGGGAGCTGCCTTCACATTCCTCCCGACTGGGCTGGTGCTGGAACTGGTACTCCCAGTACTGTTTCCCTGAGGAGCGGGGTGGTGGGCATTAGGAGGGCTGGGCCAGAACATGACTGGAGATCCCAGAGGCTGTTGAAGTTAGGAGCTCCCAATATGAGGTGGGGTAGGGGTTGGGCACACACTGAGGCCTGTCCCCAGTGAAGTGTGAAAGGAATCTGAGACTGCTCCCAAACCTGCCCAGACTCCCACCCGCCCCCTGAGTACCTTTGAAGAAGTAGACCTGCTCCCGGCCACTGTAGCTATGGGCAGGGAGGGCCAAGGCTGCATCCACGTTGTCCGGAATGCCATCAAAGCCGTCAGAGATATTTTGGGGGTAACCAGGGTCCAGGACACCA